CACTACTCGAGGTCGACGCTGCATCCTCAGACTTCGACCTACTAGATGATGAAGAAGAGGAGGAGGAAGGGGGAGAATAAGAAGGAGACATCCCGATCAACCTGAAGTGGTAACCGACCAAGAAGGGCAATGGAGGAAGAGTGCTGAAGTGTAGGAATGGACTTAGTGAGGGTTGGTAGAACAGAGGGGAGGGGGTTTTTATAGGAAAAAATTCGGCCAACCGAGGTGACCCTTCACCTCCCCCCGATGCAATCAATTGCTCACCTCGCCATAATGGCTCCTAAAAGAATGTAGGAACATAAGTTCCAAGACAAAGCATTCCCACCAATGCAAATATTTCCTGCCAAATCGCAAGGCGAGAAGGTTCCCGCCCTAACTAATTTCGGGCATGAGCGAGCCATAGTGCTCGGTCACATCAGTCCCCAGTGCTCAAGTCACAACACTCGATCATATCAGTCTTCAGTACCCAAGACATGGTGCTTGGTCACATCAGTCTCCAACGCCCCAAGCCATGGTGTTCGGTCACATTAGTCCCCAACGCCCGAGCCATGGCACTCGGTCCCATCAATCTCCAATGCCCGAGTCACGATGCTCGGCCACATTAGTCCTTAGTACCCGAGCCATGGTGCCGGGTCACATTAGTCTCTAGTGCCCGAGTCACGACACTAGGTTGCATCAATCTCCAGCACCCAAGCCATGGTGCTCGATCATATCAATCTCCAGCACCCAAGCCATGGTGCTCGATCACATCAATCCTCAGCACTTGAGCCATGGTGCTCGGTCACATCTGTCTCCAATGCCTGAGCCATGGTGCTCGGTCCCATCAATCTCCAATGCTCAAGTCACGATGCTCGGTCGCATCAGTCTTCAGTACCCGAGCCATGGTGCTCGGTCACATCAGTCTCCAATGCTCGAGTCACAATGCTCAGTCACATCAATCTTTAGTACCCGAGCCATGGTGCTCGGTTATATCAGTCTCCAGCACCTGAGCCATGATGTTCGGTCACATCAGTCTCCAACGCCCTGAGCCATGGTGTTAAGTCGCACTGGTCTTCAGTACTCGAGTCACGATGCTCAATCTCATCAATCTTCGGTACCCGAGTAAGAATGCTCGCTCACATCAATGTCCCTCGCCCGAGCTATAATGCTCAGCCTTACATAAGCCTCCTAGCCTTGAGCTATGGAATTTGACCATGCCACCTTTCAATACCCAAGCAGCGTTGCTCATCTAATCATAAAGGCATTCAACACTTACTTCCGTCCAGCCCAGCATCAACTCATGATTGAACCACCAATTCCAGTGGGTTGGTCAGCCCGCTCAGGCTAGAGCACCATGCTATGCCTCAAACCCCTTTGGGGGAGTTGAAATGTGGCTCTTGGTAGCACACCCCTAGGTAGCTGACCGCAGCTACATCAACACCAACGAAAAGTTTCAAAGTCAATTTGGCAGACCATGTCAATATAACGTCGTCCCGTGAAGAGCGGAAAGACGTCGCTTGGGTATGACTGTGACATCACTCGGGACGACGTCGTCCCACAAAGAGTGGAATGGTGCCACTCGGGTGTGACGACAACACCGCTTGGGTATGACGTCGTCCCCGTAAAGAATGGAATAGTGCTGCTCAAGTACGCCTCCACCCCGCAAAGGCAGGGACAACTCCACTCGGGTGCGATGCCACGTAGGACAATTAATGTCAGCATAAAAGGTATAGGTTCGTCGCTTAAGAGGGCGGTGACCATTAAGAGGCAAGGATAGCCAACCCCCGTGGGCAAGCATAAAAGCCCATCGCCTAGCCAATACGAGGCGGTTGGTCCACTCAAGCATCCTACTCTCACTCATTCAATGGAAAGCTAACTTAAACATCAGAGGGGTCAAGTCGAAAAATCCCCCTCCCGACCTCGACTTATGTGCAGGAGCCCAGTGGCAGAGAAGCAAACCACCTGCTAAGAAAGGAGACCGTGCTCAGGGGACGAGGTTCGAACTATATTGGGAAATCTTGGGGGCGACAACATATGTGTAGCGAAAGAACAGAAAACAAAATCCCCAATTCCCAAATATATGTTCGTCGTCATGTGAAGATTGGTACGTAAAAATCCATGAAATAGAAAATCACGTGTGAGATAGATTGTGTTACCTAGGGAGATCGTATATCCCTGAATCCTTGTTGATCTCTAGGAGAGGGTGAAGGAGATCAAGCGCCTTCCTCTCTAGTGGTGATCCACAGTGGGGCTGCAATAACGCTCCTCAAAACTCCAAGCCTACTTTGAGATAGAGAGGGGGAGGAGAATAAGAGAGGAAGCAAAAAAGCTTAGCATATAAACTATTGAATCCCTCCTATTTATAGAGGTCCCCTGTTAACTTAACCGTAATGGATCCTCACCTTTTGGGTATTGGATTTCCATCCAACTACCCAAGCCTTTTAAATTAGTGGATCCCTATCCAATAATCTCTTATGGGCTCTTTTTGGATCTCATCCATAGGATCCAATAATTCAAAGGCTTTATTAGATATCCAATAAGATGTGGGCTTTGGTGGATATCTCATATCCGAACCTCTACTTATCGTAATGCCTACCATATGTGTGTGACCCTCTAGGCCCAATATCAAGCTGGCCATGAGTCATACTTGTCAGAACTCCTTCTGGCTCAGTGAATTATTATCTTAATAATAATTCACTCGACTCATCGATTGTGGACGTACTAGGCCACTATGCCGTAGTCTCTAAACGATATAGAGGAATCCAATCCATTGGACCTATTTGTCCTCATTTACTATGTACATATAGTCCCTCATCCATCTAATATCACAGAGACTGTATACCTGGCATGGTGTTATCATACCCATATGGTTTCTACTCGAGTCTCACTCTAATCAGATTCTCTAGGAGAACTCTTTCTCTCTTAATCCGAATGACCCTAGCCAGGGATTTGTTTGAGCAAGAACATATGGGACATTCCTCTAATGACACCGAGAGTGGATGATCCTCTATCGACACTTAATAGCCCTCATAAGATTGACTACCACTCCCGATGACCGACTGTGCTAGATCTGGGACATCCAAACCTATAAGTCATGTATCAAAGAGTGGAGCACTCATACAGGACATCCTTGGTGTCTCAAGTCTAAGGATCAGATACACCATTGGGACTAAGGAATCGTTGTCTTACAATAAGGCATCATCAACCATTCAGCATTCCGTAAGCGGATCAATCAGTGAACTCATTCCCAAATTAGCACCTGTATTGTATCTCTAGTGTCTCAACATGAGTAGCTATACAACATACTAATCTGTCCGGATATACAACATACTAATCTGTCCGGTTATCTCAATGTCCTTTTCGAGTAACCTATGACGGAGATTATTTAGGATCTATGTTTAAAGGTGAATCAGTTTTATTATTGTGATCTCATCACGATCCGATTCCCATTGCATAGATCCAAGGATATCATAATATATATATGCACATATGTAATATAAAGTGATAAATACCAGAATATAATAAGCAAAAAAAGACTGCGTGTCAGGTCACACGTGTCATCACTAACATGATTGGCTTGCAGGATACCTATGATTAGCAAACCCGACCCAACGGTCGCTCACACCACCCGAGCATCCGCGTGGGTAACCTTGTACATCCAGGACTGGACCGAGCCATGTTGGCACCTCGACCACGACGTAAAGGTTCACCAACACTAATAAAATTTTTAAATTTGTTTAAAATACCTTATGATATTCTCTAAAATCATAAGATTACCATTATATGTTAGAAACCTCATTCTCATTTCCTTCTATAAAATAAAATTTTATTTGTTTATTTTTAAAAATTATTTTATAGTTATTTATATGCTTATATTTATTTATATATCTAGACCATACAAATTTTTTTAAGTTTACATTTATTTATTTACCTATTTATTAATTTAAATTTAAAAATATTTATTTATTTTTAAATAAATATTAAAAAAAATTAGAAGGATAAATTTGTCATGTAATTACCTAACAACACATGTCTTATTGTAAAAGGATAAGAGTAGTATATATTGAGAGAAAGATAATTTACAATGTACATTTGACGTGAACTGCTACTAGGACAATAGCAATGATGAAAGGATAGTTTCCGAGGGCTAGAAATGTAAGTAGGAAAGAGGTGGTTAACATATAGCCCATTCACTCGAAGAAACAAAGCAAATAGGAGAACCCTCTCAAGTAGCTGCTCGATGATAGTATATGATTGGCAACTCAATAAGAGCACTAGCACTAGCATCTTGCTCTGACCACATATGAAATAACTTAGAGTTACAATCAAAGGATATAAACATTTGTAATTGGGGGAAAAAATATCAAATAGACTTATTCCAAAAGAGAAGAAAAATTATATTTTATCAAAAATAACAATGTAAACTTATTATTTTAGCTACTATGACGGAGCATTTTCATGGCGCATTTACTTTTCTGTTTAATATTTTTATTACAACTTTGGAGTCATACCAAATATAAATAAGCATAAAAGATTTATTTTTGGCTACCATAATAATATCACGTTAAATAACTTATAATTTATGATACATGATGGATAAAAATCCCAATAGCAATGGCCATAATAGGATCACTTAGCACGATTACGAAGGATGCATCATAAGTCATAAGACACTAAGGTATCAATATTAATAGTAATCTAATTACCAAGCAGCACCTATATTGATATACATTTAAAATATAATTTTTATCTGTTGATTACTAAATATTCAAAACAATCTACGATACATCTTTTTCATATTCACTCAAATTTTTTTCTCTAAATATATATTAAAAATATAAATATATTTGCAAACTTTTTTTTTTTAGACTTCTCTGCTTACAAAGTTGATAGAGAGTGCAGGTAATTGGGAAACCAAGATGTTACCGTAGTTCGCTGGATATCAGCTTCATCTTTTGGCCTGTGAGTCCTGTTAGAGTATATTGACACCGTAGGTTATTTCTACGGTGACATGCTTCCAATTGCGAAAGCAGAACAAGAGCTTTATAGAAGTTGAAATGCTGCCCAGAACGAGAGTCTTCTCGAGCCAACACAACAAAGTTAACAGTAAAATACCAAATACATTGAGATCGACCTTGTCGAACACCTTACGCAACATGAACGCCTGAAGCCTAGATATAGCCTACTATACGAAGAGCAAGTCACAATGTGCAGCATGCACCTTCAGTCTGCTCTCTCATGGGTTGCTTCATCGGTCACGATGCAGCGTTTGTATCAGTTTCCATGATCCAGTGAGGAGACGAAAGGTTTGGGGGGTATCTGCAAGCTCTGCAAGTTCCCTGTTAGCATCTGCAGTACCCTAGTCATGGAAGGTCGATCCATAGGACTCCACTGAATGCACCATAAAGCCACGATAACGAGCTTCTTCATGATTTCTTCTTGCTCTTTAACCTCCATCTGCATTGCCAATCCCAGATCCTGGTTCTGAACTAATCTGTCATACACCCATTCCGGAAAATAGATCTCGCTCTCTTTTCCGATCTCAGGATCAAGGTTCTTCCTTCCCCCTACCATTTCCAAGACCAACATACCGAAACTGTAGACGTCTGATTTGTAGGAGACCGTCCCAAAGTTTCTGGAGTACATCTCCGGGGCGATGTAGCCCATCGTCCCCCTCGCAGCCGTCATGGTCACCAGGCTCTGCTCCCTGGAGCAAAGCTTGGCAAGACCAAAGTCCGAAATCTTCGGATTGAGTTCATCATCCAAAAGAACGTTATGGGGTTTGATGTCGAAGTGAAGAATGCGTTGTTGGCATCCTTGGTGCAAATACTCGACGCCCCGAGCGATGCCTGTCGCGATGTGGAGCAACTTCTCCAAGCTCAGAGACGGCTTGTCCGCTTCTTTAGCGTCCCTCGAGAAGATGCGCTTCTCCAAGGACTCGTTGGGCATGAACTCGTAGACGAGAGCGCGGGTTGACCCCTCGGAGCAGAACCCCAGGAGACGGACGATGTTGACGTGGTGAATTCTTCCGATGGTGGCCACCTCGTTGATGAACTCCTCGCCCTCGCCTTTGGATTTCTCCAGCATCTTCACCGCTACGGGAATTCCATTGGGTAGCTCGCCTTTGTACACGCTTCCGTATCCGCCTTGCCCCAGCTTGTCCTTGAATCTCTTGGTCATCCTCTTAACATCAGCGAAACTGTATCGTGTTGGCTTCGCATCGCTATTATAGGTTGCTAGAAACTTTTCTACCTTCACACGTGTTTCTTGGTCTCTCGCAGATTTCCTTATGACGTATAATAGAGTGAGGAGTGCTGCCAATACAAGCACAACAAATCCACCACTGGATAGGCCTGAGAAGAAGAGAAATTATGAGGAAATTACTCTGCAATTCTTCTCATACAAGTTGTATGTGAGAAATGGTTTGAGCACTCACCTACAATGAGCTTAAAGTTGGGACCTGCAAAGAAGAAGAAGAGAGCGGTCACTGGGAATTCCCTTCATTGTTCATAGCCATAATTTGCTTCACTCTGTTTCCATGTTACTTGACTTATACAGGAACAACTAGACAGGCAAAATAATAACTAAGACCGTCTCAACCAAAGAGAAGATTCATTGAATAATTGGTTAGTGCTTTAGTGCTCGATGGATACACTTACCGTTAGCCTGAATTTAGATATTTTGGGCTAATTATTTTATTTGATTGAATCATCGCCAACGATGTCAAAGACAGACCAAGAATTAGGCATGATGAGGGGATGAGACAAATAATTTCTAAGTATTTGATAATTATATCACCACCATTAAATTAGGTTTAATTATTTGGGTCATTAGTCTCTCTCTACTTGATAAAATAATATGAGTATATGCGGTGCAAATCCATCTTATGTCGCATGCTCAATCAATCAAATTAGTTCTAGGTGGACCTTATCCTCTGGCAATTTCTAATCTAGCAATAGATGCATAACATGCAGCAAAGGTCCACCGGAAGAAGTAATTGCCCCACCAAATCTATCGACACCAAGTATCGGACACACAGAATGGTGGAAGCTTACCATGATGAGGCCCGCTCATACAGTAGGTTTTGTTTCTCCTTCGGCTGAATCCACAGCGCTCGTTTGCTGTCTCACAGGCCGTGCATGTATCGATCTCCGGCATCGTCAATTGAAGGTTCATTTCTTGCGTTCGAATAAAGTACTCCACCGTCCCATTAAATGAGGAGTAGTTCCTATTTTCATAGTAAGAGATCTCGAGAACAGGCGAGTCCACGTTGCAGCCGGCAGGCATCTCGTCCATGGACTCGTACGCTACGGCTGCATAACCGAAGCGGCCTTCACTGCCCAGGCACGAGATCGGCCCAGCAATCCATTCCGGAACTCGTGTTATCTCTTTCGAGCAGCTCAGCAAAAGAAGGCCACGGCCATATACAGGCTGGTAGATGGTGGTGGTGAGGTTGGTGGAGTTGAGGGTCCGCAGGGGGCACCGAGCCCATGACTCCCCCAGCTTGATTCGAACCATGCCGTATGGGTACTCGATATCGATCACTTTGCAGGGTCCTATCTGCGGGAGTGCGAGGACGGCGTCACCGCCGGAACATGAGACCTCTAAGCCTGGAGCACCGCAGTACGAAGGACTGGTTTGCAGCCGGAAGGGGTATCTGATCGGTAGACCTCCACACGTTGCATTCGTGCAATCTTTTATGAAGTCGTCGGCTTCGTCGGCCCAAGTCATCTCGATGTAGGAAGCTCGGAGGAACAAGAGTAAGAGGGTGCAGAGGAGCCGAGACATGGCCTCGCAGGGGCATGGGAGGGATCGGCCTTCCCCTTCAGCTCTTAGGGGAGACAACTAACTGATCGGGGAACTACGCGATGGTTTGATCATTCTTGCGGTGATTGCTCGGAAGATGAAACGTCAAAGACGACCGAGTTAGGGAGCGTGGTGGGGTTTCAATTAAACGCATGGTCATCGAAGGGTGGGAGGTGTGACTACAACTCCTCCTGTCCGTCTTCTCCACGTCAATTAGATTGACTGTGATATACATATATAAAATAGAGTAGAAAAGGAATCGTGACGCACCTTCGTGGAAGTTGCACACGATGAAAAAAAAAAAAAAATCTTAGTATAGAAAGAATTTTTTTATTTAAATTTTTTAAAAATTAAAAAAATTATTATTTTATAAATATTTCATATATCTTTATGTCTTGATGATAAAAATATATATAACTAAATACTCATGCTTCTTGAATTTTCTTTTATAATGAATATTGAGAAGGCGAATAAAAAAAAAACCATTTCGTATTTAGTATGATAGGTACGATAGCGATTTATGCTTGAGTTTGGACTAGCCTGAAATGTGCTAAAATTTATTTTATTTTATGGACAAAAATAATAGAGAACTAGGAACCATATAAATATCATATCCATTCTCTAGTATATTCTTTATTTATTAATCTATGGGTTTCAAGGTCTTCTCTCTCGCTATAAAATATGAACAGAGTTCAAAAGATTCTATGATAAAAAAAATTTAATAAAGATAAGAGATAAAAATTAGGAGGAGTCTAAGCATGTTATATTTTATTCAAGACACAAAAATATACTACTTGGGATTAACAAGTATTTTTGAATTCCTAGAGTTAGTAGTTTTGGAGGATAAGGAATCTTATTATAAAAAAGACTACTTGTGAATAAGAAATCTTAAAAATTAAGATTTAATTATTTTATGAATATGCTATGTATCTCTAGGTTTTGATGGAAAGAAAAATATGAGAGAAATTCTTCAGTTGTATGTATATAAGAAGAGGGTGTACAAGAAAATTTAAGTTTGAGTTGGAGTTAACTCTATAATTGATGAGTGAAGAATTTAATTTTTTTCATAAATATAGATATATATATATATATATATTAAAATTTATTCATAATTTAGGATATATATATATATATTAAAATATAATTATTATCAATCATTTATATTTTAATTTGCTCCTATTAATGATCTGCTCAGTGATCCTCTCTACCATCTCTATCACTTTTGTCTACATATAAACTTTGTGGCTTCTAAAATATTGTACGAAAACGACATACGTTAACGCACAATGGAAATTTTTCAACGACTACTCTAATCTTCCAAATCACAATAAAGAAATATCTCCTTGAGATCGAATACTTCCACCATGCGACGCGACTTCTTTAGTGCGATGATATTAATGCCCGGTGCTGTGGGGCTGCTTTCTTGAATCGAGTGATAGCCATCTCTTCCTTATTATTGGAGACACCCACTTGTAATTCGTTTCTTACAAAAGAAAGCATTTTTCTGTTCTCTTTCATTAGCGACTCTTTTTAGGATTTTCTACGTTAAGCAAACATTAAGCAATTATGTTTAGTAAGTGATAAAGAAAAAAATTATTATGCCATTCGATTTTGATTTACATCAACACCTTAAAATCGTAGCTTAACCCCCTATTGCAAAATATGATCAAAAGATCAACTAGTCCTGAGTTAAGCGTCGCTCCTTTGACCAAATATCATTCGTTTGGTCAAACATGTTTTATATCATCAATTATGTCATTATTGGAAATTATCCTTAATGTTGATGAGCATCATCTTCTACCAAATATCATATGTGACTATTCCCATCGATCATCATTATTCATCAAGAACCACTTAGTTGCCAATTGTACTAAGATTGCCTCGAACGATCATACAAGATGATATGATGATAGTCACAAGATAGATTAGCATAGTTAAACATAGACAAATGTATATTTGAAACCATCCTTTGCTAACTTAAGAGCTAATTTTTAAAGGGTCATGAGAGAAATTTGCTTAGAAAATAGAATTAAATTTGATACAATTAATAAAATTTAGAAATAATCGAGAATCATATATCAGCTAGCATAAGGAATGATTCCCCCCCTTCATGTATGTTTGTGATTGAATCCATTTAACCAAGCATAAGATCGAGTATTCCTTCGTTGTGGGGACAATCATAGCAAGGTTGACATAGATAGATAGTATCATGAGCACAAGAAGAAAAGGTAGCATCGGAAAGAAAAAAAAAATAATTAAGAAATATAAAATTTCTAATGGTAAAGAAGATGATCTTTGGTTGAGAAATCTGTGGTCCTTTTTTAGTCTCGTTTCAATTATATGTTGGGTTCTATTTAAATAGTGTAACTCGTCCGAAAAGACTGTGCCTCAGCTCTCACTTTCTTCAAAAATTATCATATTTTTAAGAAATCCTAAAAATATCTGATGAAACATGAAATGACATTTTTTTACTTTTTTTGAAGAATTAAAATATTTAGTTTTTGTTAATTCAACACTTAACAGGCTGAGATTTTTAATTTTGGCCAATATAAGCTGAAATTATAAGGTTTTACCCAGAAGTTTTATAAAACCTTGAAAAGCTCTAAATGATCTTTTTTTTTTCTCTTTTTGCGCATTTGAAACACCTATTTTAAAGTTAATTCAGCCCCTAGAAAGCTGATTTTTTTAAAAAAATTTTGGCTAATTGATAGTAAATCTAGAAAAATTTGGGCTGAAAATCACTTGAATATTATTAGAGGAGTTTTCTGAAGTTAAAAAAGAAAATTTCTTTTGAATTTTGACTTATATAATTTCTTAATGGAGTTATTAGTATTGGTAATAATATTAGTAATATATTAGTGTTATTATTATAATGGTAATGGTAATGATATTACTCTTATATTGGTATTAGTACTATAATGGTAATGGTATTGGTAATATATTGGTATTGGTAATGAGGCACTAAATAGGAAATTCTACGAAGCAGCATCATCTGAGAAAGCCCAAAAAAAAAATATATTTTCAAGAAAATCACTCATTATTGCAAAAAATATAGACCTCCTAGTATCTTAGTTCCTAAACTTAAAAGATTTATATTGAAATCTTCATAGTTATGAAAGTAAAACATCTAGCTTCATTTATCCTAATGTTGTCGATTTTACTAGCGGAGACTAAAATCAAAGTACAAACAGAATAATTTTAATATTTCAATTAGTAGTGTCGAAGGTGTGGATGAAGGTGCCACTAGGGGCTGCTGGTGGTTGTTATGGATGATGAGTGCAGCAACGAGAGGTGAGGGCTGCTGTGCATCTGTATCGACACTGGTGCAGTTACTAAGCGACACTTTCGTCACTCTGTAACTGTATCAGTGTCGACGTAGATATAGAGCGGTGTCATTGTACATTTGCATCGACAACCCTTTCATTACTTGACAACCGCCCGCGTCGATGCTGACACGGATGCAAAGCAATGAAAGCGAAGCTTGAGAGGTTGTTGTGGATGAGAAGAGCGACAACGAGAGGTGAGGGCCGTTCTGCATCTGCGCCAGCATCAAAATAACTATCGAGTTATCACGGACAAAATTCTAAACAAGATATTTGATGTAATGCTTATGTATATCCATGTCTCTTGGTTTGTTCATGCTTTGCACAGCATGTAGAGGGACGGTCAAAGGCTTAATAACCCCATTTTAGTTGGGTTTGGTGGTCGTTTTAAGCTTGTAAATAAAGGTTGTATCAAGTGGATACTTTTGAGAGATATTTGATCTGTAGTGGATCATTTTGACCCTTTGTTGTGCAACCATTCAGAGCTTGTAAAGTGTGCTTGTAATTTGTATTGGCTATGAAGTGTTTTCGGAAATGTTTGCTTGTGAATCCCGAGTGAGGCACTTTCTCTAACACATTTTCTCTTTTATAGGTCCTAAGAGACCATGGGAGGTTTCAGAGAGGCTAACCTTTGCGGACTACCACGCAAGGGTGCCGCACAACTTAGGCAAAACCAACTAAGTCCGTGACATATGGTATCAGAGCGGGACAAGCACTCATAGAAACACTTGGCATGCAAACATGGGGGACTTAGCTGGGCTATGTTGAGGTACTCAGCACGTGTGACTATTTGGGAGAAAACGGGCATGGAGAAGTAGGGAAAAGGAGTTGTTTGGAGGAGCGGGGATCTGAGATTGACATTTAGAGGAATGGCCAACCCTTCGCACAAGAGGCACCACGAGAACAAGTAAGCTTGGAAGAATGTGTAGCACACAAAGGTTGGGATGGTTGAGTTCGAGCTATGGCTCGACGTTGACAACTATACTTGATGGTGCTCAAGGCAAGCAAGGCGCTTGGTAAATGATAAGACCATGCAAGATGGAATGGGTTGCTCAACGACCAAAAGAGTTGTGCAAAGCTTATAGAGGTGGGGGGAATTGCTAACTCGAAGAATTTGGTACTCATGCAAGGGCTTGTATACAGATGATGGAATGTTTGCGGTCATCCCAAGGCGATCGAAACTCAATGCCATGGAGCATTGAAACTTTCTTTTCGGCATGAGAAGGATACGTCCGTAGGAGGCTGAAGTGTGTAGTGAGTTCACTATGTTGCTAGACTTTGAGTGGTGCAGCGGGGGTTGTATTGACGTGGAGTCACAATTTAGCAAGTGCGTTTGTAGGAGGTAGAACAATACATAGTTTGTTCAGCAAGTCGGTGTAGTCCAAGGAGATGGTGGTCTCCGAAGCTTTCAGAGGGAAGGAAACAAAGAGAGATAATCCACTATAAGAATAATAAATATACAAATCTCAATCTCTTACCCAAAACCCTAGTAACAATCACAAGAGAATAATTGGGATACAAGGATCACGTCACTGTGCACAAAATTCTAAATCCTCCCTAATTCTCCCCAAGTAATCACAGTAAGAATCTACTGTAGATTTGATCTAACCTGAGATGAAAATACCACTGGATGATTGAGAACAGTCTCTCTGCATTGTCCTTGTTTTCTTCGCTTTCTTTATGCTTGGATTTTTATCTTTTTCTCCTCCTTTTTGCTACTGCAAAGATCTAGACTGCTGCCCTCATTGATGCCCTATTTATGCCTATTTTCGTAGCCATCACACACCCCCCTAATATGAATTAGGGTTAGGTTAAGAGAGGAGGTGGGCTGTAAGTTGTTCAAGCCCACTATGGGCTGAACCATGGGCTGT